TCCATTCCCCCCTGTGTGTGTGCCTCGAGCTCCCCCGGCAGGCATGGGAGGGTCGATCCTGTTCTCTTTCCTACCCGTGGGCCAAACCTCCCCCCTGCCCTGCCCCTCCCCCATGGGTGTGTGCCCTGCCGCGCCTTCATTCTCTGCTCTCTCCGCCCCTGTCAGCCCCCCGTTGCCGTCGCCGAAGAAGACCTGCAGCTCCAGCTCGCTCTTAGCTTGAGCAGAGAGGAGCACGACAAGGTTAGAGCCGCCCCCGGACGATCTAACACCCTCCCCACCATAGGAGTGTGGGCTGGCCTTCCCCCCACCCCCACTGCACTAACCCCCGCCCCGACTAGATCAGCGCTAACTCCACTCACTGCTCGCCATCACCTCGCAGAACTTTTCTCGCCTCCAGGGAAAAGATGCTCTTAAAAGGAGAGAAACTTCTCCACCTAGCCCTCCTCTTGGGGGCATCTGGTCAGTTTTAGTCCCTCTGGATGCCCAGGTCAGTTTCACCTCTGGTCAGTTTTAGTCCCTCTGGATACCCAGGTCAGTTTCAGTCCTGCTGGTGCCCAGATCAATCTAGCCTCTGGTCAGTTTCAGTCCCTCTGGATACCCAGGTCAGTTTCAGTCCCGCTGGTGCCCAGATCAATCTAGCTTCTGGTCAGTTTCAGTCCCCATGGGTACAGAGGCCAGTTTCACTCTTGGTCAGTTTCAGTCTCGCCAGGTACCCAGGTCAGTTTCACTCCTGCTCAGTTTGTCTCACCAGGTACCCAGATCAGTTTTGCTCCTGCTCTGTAACCCCTCCCAAGTGCCATTGGGTTGCGTGTCTGGGATCCGTGCCCCCCATGCACTTGAAGTGCTTAGCAGGTGAAATCGTCCAGCCGCTTTTCCCCACCAAGGGCCTGATCCCCACTGGAACTCTGTTTGATATGGTATGATAGAGGCCTATAAAATCATGAGCGGTGTGGAGAGGGTGATTAAAAAAAAATTATTTACTTGTTCCCAGAATAGAACTAGAGGACACCAAATGAAATGAATGGGGAGCAGGTTTTAAACTAATAAAAGAAAGTTCTTCTTCACACAGCGCGTAGTCAACCTGTGGAACTCCTTGCCAGAGGAGGCTGAAGAGCTAGATAAATTCATGGAGGTTAGGTCCATAAAAGGCTGTTAGCCGGGGCTAGGAATGGTGCCCCTGGCCTGTTTGTCAGAGGCTGGAGAGGATGGCAGGAGACGAATCGCTTGATCGTTGTCTTTGGTCCACCCCCTCTGGGCCGTTGTCGGCCGACAGGCTACTGGGCTAGATGGACCTTTGGCCTGACCCAGGACGGCCGTTCTTATGTTCTGTCCTCCCCTGTTACTTCCCTAAACCCACATAGTGTCCTCTAGTTCCCCCATTTCTTCCTGTTCTAAATGTTTGTTTAGCGACTGCCTCGCCCCAACCCACAGGTGGCTGCATTTTAGTGGTGGCTGAAGCAATTCCAGCTTCAAGCTTTGGTTCTGTCCCCAGCTCTGGGAGGGCAGCGGGGCCTAGTGGTTAGAGCCGGGGTGCAGCCATTTCCCCTTGGTGCTGAGTCCAGGGCGGCCAGGTCCATGTGGCCATGGCGGGCCAGAAGGGCGGGGACGTGAAGCAACACAATAAACCTCTGTCCTCAGGCATGAATGGGGAGCCTCCTGCGAGACCAATGGCAGGGTTTCCCCCAGCACCCCTCCTGGTTTCTTTGTACCCCCTTGAATTCTAGAGAGCAATGCCAAGGACTCCCCCTTCCCCCAGAACGGAGGCAGCAGAAGGTTCTGAAAGGTTCTGGCTGGATCTCTCTGGGTCGTTTGGGTCTCTCCACGGCAGCTGTGCGCTAACCCCCGGCCCCCTATTAACCCTCACCCTGATCCCCCCCCGCCC